AAACTCAAGGGAAAGGTCTCTGCCCGACTGGCACGCCACGCGCTCCCTGGCCAGACCTGCAGCCGTCCAATGTCCCCGCTGGAGCGGGAAGCGGGACACGCGCGCTGGCCGTCGCTGCTGCCCGGCGTCCGCGTGGCCCAAAGAAACGGAGGAGCGAGATTGACTGTGTCTTTCCAAGAAGATTCCTCTGTAATTAAGTTCCTATGGGAAGATAAGAACTACTGTACCTAATGAGGAATGTAGTCCTGGTTCTTCTCTGGGCAGCGTGGGGCACCCTGAAGGGTTTCTGAGCAGGGTGGGAGGTGTCATGAGTTGCAATGGACTCTGCAGAGAGTTAAAGAGGTTGGCAGTGATTTCTAAAACTTGACTATCAAAATCTTCAGTTTTCTTTTAAGCAAATGGGAACTTCTCGCTCAGTACCTTGTAGCTGTGAATGAATAATGTGGAAAAGCCTCTTTTTTCGGAGTGAGCTCTTGAGCACAGGCATAACAGAACGAGATGGGAGGTGCTGTGAACCAAAGGGAAATGGGGCAAAGGGTGCGTTTTGGTACCCGGTGGAAGGCCAGATTTTCAAATTCTGACTTTTGTGCTCGGCATTTCTCTGTTTGGAATAAGGGCCTCGAGAAATTTATAAGAACTGAATGAGAGAGAGAGAAAAAAAAAAAAAAAACCCTGCTTGGAAGGGAGACACCTTTTAAGCTGCCTAGAAGGGTTGAAATCTTTCTTGTGTGATCAGAAAGAAAAGGTACGCACGTACCTACCAACAGCTAACTGTGAGAGTGTTTTAATGAAGGATTCTGCTCTCTGGGCTAGGAATAAATAAAGCTGCGGTCTGACGGCTGAGCCTAAGCAGGGAGACCATTAGGTTGTTGATGTGTAAATCAATTGTTTCGATGAGCATAAATTATTGCAGGCAAAAGATAAAGATGGGGCAGATCACAGACCTAGAGAAATTCAAAGGTGGCTTGGAAGCTCTCTAGCTGTGCTGGGTTGCGCTGCAGCTGGGTGCGGATCCAGGAGGCCTCGTGCGCCCCCGAAGCGTTGGCTCTATTGGCCCTGCGCTGCCCCGTCGGCCAGCGCCTGCTCGGCCGCTCCGTCCGATCCTTCCAGGAAATCCCGGACAGCAGGGCGGCAGCCCGGGGGATGCTATCCACACACGCGTTCCTGCCGGATATTTAGCAGCAGTTAGGAAGAGACGGACCGTTTTGGTTTTGCTTGGTGCTATTTTAAATAAATCAAAGCCAAAGGTAGTAAATCCCTGTCCTGCAGAGTGGCAGCTCGGCGGTGGCGGCGCTCCTCTTGGCCAGCGGACCAAGGGAGGAGCTCTCCGGCTGCTTGTCAGCAGAAGTGCCGATATTATAGCAATGTGGAGGTTTTGTTTGCACGTTAAAGGCTGCTATATGGCTTTGGGGCACCTTGAAAGAATACGAGTGAGACTTTACCCAAAAGCTCTCCCTCAAGAAATACGGGATATTGCTGGTTCCCGTTTGTCTGGCTTTCGCGTGCGCCTTCGGTAGCTGGGAGCTGAAGTTAAGCGTCGTGAGGGTGGGAAGAGAGGACAGACAAGTGTGTTTGCTGTTTTGTGCTTGAGGGAAAAGCAGGAGGACTTACCCCCAAGGAACGCACTGCTCCAAAAAGAGCTGGGTTGCTCTTGCCTCCCAGCATCCTGATTTTCCTCTTCAAAAGCTGTGCGCCGTCCCGTTGAACGGTAATCAGAATTGCGTCTTTGTGAGGTTTTGGTGCTGGAAAAAGCTGCTCGCTGTGCAAACACATGAAGGGACAGAGCGAGCAGGAGGTGGAGAAGATGCCTTCACCATCATCGTCCTCTCCCTGCTGGCAGATTGTCCTGTCCTCCAGCCATTGGGGCAGCCTGCAAAGGGTCATTACCAGGGAAACGCAATTCAAAACCAGTAAAGGCAACATCAGCTAGAGAGAAAGATGTAGCTATTTTCAAAGAAAGTTGGTTGCTGATTGTCGGAATTTCCTGACCGAAAACCCACCAGGTTTGTGCTGCTCCCCCATCAAGCCCCGAATGCTGCTCTCAGCAGGAGCCGCCCAGAGCAGGGCTGGAGGGACCAGCTCAGACATGAGCCTTCGCCTCCCTTTGGGCCAGGCCCTCCGCGCCTGGGGGCTGCTGTACCCCGCTAATTCCTACAGGGACGACGTGACAGCCTTTTAGCCTGGAGACGTGATTTCTATCCACCCCTCTCCTGTCCTGGCTTCACGTCCCAAAGCCTCCCTTGAGACTTGCGTCTTGGAGCCCCTCGGCCAAGGGTGTTTTGCACATACGTTTCGGTGTTTCCCCTTTCCGTTCTCTTTTCCCACCCCGGGGCTCATGCACTGTCCCCCTCGTTGCGCGACGAAGCTCTCGGGTTTCTCTCTGGCTGCTCTGGCTCTGCTGCCTCCTTTACGTTTCATGCAACCCCAGGCCATCGCCAGGAGGGTTGAACTGTATCTGTGCTTTCGCAGGTGATGAGAGCAAGGGATCTGCTTGTGCAGAGACAAGTCTGCGCATTACATCTGGTGTTTCACCTCCCTTCTCTATGGGGAAGGAAAAAAATGACTAAGACTCTGGGAGCATAGACGTTTTTATTCATTGGACTGATAATAGGAGCTAAATAAAGGCTTTGGAAAAAAATGACTGTTTCTCTTGCAATATTGGTTGGGCAGAACCGTGCTGGAACTAAATATGGAATGAAAAGTCTGGCTTTCTTGCCAGTTCTCTCTATTTTTAGAGCTACTGCGCAGGCTTTGTATCTTTGTGAGTTTTCTCAACATATACACTTGAAGCAAGCAATCTGCCTTTGTTTTTTCCGGCCGGCTGTCATAATCGGGAAGATAAGGATGTTGGATGGAGGGGCAGGGGAGTCACCAGATTTGACAAGAAGTTCCTCTGGGCGCAAGGATGCGACTCCTGTCCCAGCACAAGGTTCGCTGTGGTCGCAGACTCCCGAATATTTGCTGTGCTCTGACTAAGACCGGCCCTAGTGCATCTGTGCTGAGCAGGTTTGCAGGCTAAATGGGGCCTGCTTCTTGCTGTCCCAAAAACATGGTCATGACTGGAATGAAATTTAGCAGCAGATTAACAGTACAGAGTGATGCTAACTGTGGTTTTGGAGAAGGGGCAGAGAGATGCTGTTTGATTTGGAGAGTGGAAGCAGGATCAGGATATCTGAACTGGGATTTAGCCAAGAGATTGTGGCCAAACCCGGAGGAGCCAGCGGTGGGGTTCTTTCCCGCGAAAAGCCCAGCCCAGGTGGGATGCTGGTGTGACGGTGCTGCGTCTGGTACCCCACTGCTTGTTCGGGGGGTACCAGGCTATGTGCGCAGCAAAGACTGTGGTCTCGAGTGGTCACTTCTTCCTTGTTTCCCCGTGTTCCTGCTCACTTATGCTTTTGCGATGGTGCTTTGTATCGCCAGCGCTCGGGGTTTGGGTTTGAAAAGGCAGGTTGTCCCTTTTGCGCTGCCTGGGCTGAGCGACGAGCAGCCCGTTGGCGCTCCTAGCGCCTGAGACCAGGACGCCCGCAGCCCTCGGGAGCGGCAGGTCGGTTTGGGCAGCCGAAAGCCGTGCCGGATTCCAGCAGGAGCATTAATCTATTCCCTGGAGAACGAAGCCGGAGAAGGGTTTATAACAGAGGGAAGGTATAGCTCCGCTGGCAGATGCTCAGCTCGGCTTGCCCTTCCAAGAAGCAGCTGTGAACCTGCGCGAAGGGGTCCTGCAGGGAGGGCGGGCGGCTGCCGGAGCCCAGGCGCTGTTGCTGCAGCAAGCGGGCAGCAAGGCTGCGCCTGCGAGAAAGCCTGGTCTCACGCGCCTTGACCACGTGTAGGCCACGGAGGGGACTATAAGGCTGCATTTAGATCAGTTTTTCTCCAGTTTTTAGCAACTTGAAGGATTTTTCCCTTCACGTGGGCTCACCGGTCGTCTTGGCAGCAGGGAACTCGGTGGCGTGACCACTTCTAGCACGAGCCCTGAGGGCGGTGGGAAGTCCCAGCCCTCTGCCCCCTGCTCCGCCGGGAGCAGAGCGTGCCGAGATGCCGGCGCTGGCTTTGGTGGCTCTGCTGAGGGCCAGCCTGGTGGTCGCTGGCCTCGTGTCCATCCGCAGGGCTGCAGACCTTCTCCTGCACTGTTTCCGCACTTACAGACCACAGACCCAATACGTTTGAATGACGGCAGCAAGGAGTGGGCTTTATGGGTGACTTGGTGGCTTTAAATGCATCTTCCTCATCTCTTTTTCCCCTTAAAAAGTCTCCTATTGATTGTTATGGCTGTTTTTGAAATATTTTATTATTAAGACTCGCCCTCTTGACAGGGCCTGTATGTTGCTGGGGCAGGGATGCCGTCCTCCTCGCATCACAGCGGTGGCTCTCTAGGCACCTGCTAGTCCTTGGGGGATGGATGCTCATGCAGTGCTGGCTCTGTATGGGGGAGTCGTGAGCTGCAAATCTCTGCTTTTCAAGTACTAACCTCCCTTTTGGGTTGTTTTTGACGTTAGGAATTTTGTGTGATAAGAGGACTTGGTTTGCCTTTAAATATCGCTTTCTGACAGGATGATGGAGTGGGGATTCTTGGAGCTAGTCCGTGCCAGCCGAGGAAGGGAAATTCTGCTGGAGCTTTTGTTTCTCTCTAGCGCTGACATTTCAGCTCTTTAAAGAGTACATTTATTTTTTTCTTGGCAAGGGCGTGTGCGTGCACACATCGGCGTCCAGACAAATGGGAGCAGCCCAGTGTTACAGCTGTGCTGAAGCCAAATGGGTCTTCTGGGCTTCACTTGGGTGAAGTAGGGCTGCCTAATGTGGAAAGCCTTAAGCAAAGGATTTTGTGATAGCGTGAGCGAGGTGCAAGGGATGTTCCTAGGCTGGTGTATCTCAGCAGTCCAGGGCTTGTGAGCGGTGGGAGCCACAGAGCACGGGCTCCTTTACTCGTTTTGGGTACCACGAAGCTGTCCCAGGTTTTCGTGAAGCCTCATGCAGCCAACTAACTCTATGTTCCTCTCTTTCAGCTCTTCCATGTGGCGTACGTCCTGATCAAATTTGCCAATTCTCCCCGACCTGACCTCTGGGTGCTGGAACGATCTACTGACTTTGGCCTTACCTACGAGCCCTGGCAGTATTTTGCCTGTGAGTACAGCGAAGTTATCAGACGGCCGCAGCTCACTGCTGGGTGGGGAAGCCAGGCTGAAGAAGGGCCGTTTCGCGGTGCTGACTTGCTCTATATGGAAGCGCTGGGTTTGGAGTTCCTTCCGTGTCGTTGCTGTGATGTAGGGCATGGCCCCGGTTCTCCTGCCCAGCAAGGCTCCCAGAGCTACAGGTTAGATCAAAGCGGCTGGGACTTGCCTCAGCAAAGCTTTGATGCTCCTCAAAGTTGCTTCAAGGCAGGGGAACTCCACTGCTCTCTGGGGCTAAAGGCATTTTTTCAAGTATTGTCATTGGTGCCCACCCAAATCTCTGTGGACGCCGTAGCTGATACCTGTGTCAGAGGTGGATGTTGCTGGTTTGGATTGGGAACGTGAGGTTTCCCGTTGTTTTCTCTCTACCCGTCTCTTCCTGCTTCTCAGCCCTTTCCTGTATCCAGACTGGCAAATTTCAGGTCCCTGAGAACCAAACTGGCAGCTTGCATCCGAGTGGCTGCTCTAACAGAGAAGCGTGGAGGCAGAAAGCAGTCCCTCTCCTCGGTTAGCAGAGCTGGGTTCCCGGCGGGCGGATGCCGTCTGCGCAGGGAGGGAGGACTGCTGTCCCGCAGCCGCGCAGAAGGGGTCTCGGAGATGCTGCTGAAATGCAAGGCTGCAGAAATCGAGCGTGCACGCTCGAAATCCCTTCTTTCCAGCTCTCGGATTAAAACCTGATCCCTTTAGAAACAGCTGCCTATACAAATCTCGTGCCCAAAGGGTCTATGGGGTAGCAGGTCTTAAGGAACATGCTAACCACTGCCCCCCCCCACCCCCAAAGCGACAGCAGTAATGAGGAGATGATGGGAGTTAAGATCTACAACTAGAGCTTAACATCTGGCAAGGAAGGACCTCTGAGCCTCAGAGACCTTGCCCCAGGGTGCCCCTAAAGGCTCATTTTTCTAGCTGACCTGTCAGCCTGTGTTTTATCTTTGCTGGCCTTTCCTTACGCAGGAAGGAACTGCGTGCGGTTTCCCTGCTGTGTTGCCTTTGCACGGCGGCTCCTGTTCAGCGCTGATGTACTCCCCTGTGCCGCGGGCCGGCGGGGGGATGACTGCTGTCAGATCACCTGCTTTGCTTTTCCCTTTCTTCCCTAACCGCAGTTTCCCTTGCAGCCCCGGGGCCCGCTGCAGTCTCTGGGCTGCCGGGGCCGAGCGCGGGGAGCCCTTGCCCGCCTTGCTCGCTCCCGCTCGCGGCCGCAGCGGCGC